AACCATGTAGTGAGAACATGTATAGATCTTTCCAACAGCCTTGCTGTTGTGTTGACATTTTCGCAACATGGTTGTGTGTCTGCCTTGGAATCAAGAGGTCTGGGGGTCAAATCCCTTTCAGTGCCTGAAGATTTTTCAGGTTAACAATCATCATGGTGGCAGTGATTTTATTCCAATTTTCAAAACAACCTGTGGCTTTCTGAAGGCGAAAATATAGCTTGATAAATTAGAAAAGGGAAAAATCAAATTCCAACCACTGAGAAAGGAATTTACCCATTCATTTAAAAAAGTTTTAATTCTAATTTAATTTAAAGGGATTTCACTGAGATATTTTGACATGATGGGACTGAAAAATATTTTTCCAGATAAATGTACCATTTGATGTAAGTTTAGTCCACTAATCTTTGTGCAAACATTAATTCAGATCATTCGCGCACTTCGTCTTTCTAGAATTATTATTCAAATTGTAAAAAAATGACCCAAAATTAAAACCATTTAAATGCTTTTCACTCAAATCGGGCTGAACAAGCATAAAAATACGTTCAATTTATTTCAAAGTATATTTTTTAACTATCTTTGCCCCAGCTCATTTATGTAAAAATTCAAATGTTATGTTTTTAGGCTTTTAAAATAGAGAACAGAATCCCTAAAGAAATTTAGGGTTTTCCTCTTTTAAACCTCAGTGGAGTTCATTTAATATGCATGGTAATAGCAGAGGCTATCTTTAGGGACAGCTTTCTGTCTTCTAGCTGATATAAGTCAGCTGATGTTAAGTCATCGTTCTGGTGATGAATGTGCACAGGGGTTTTAGGGGAAAATATCAGCATTTTCAGGGGAAAATATACCTATTTTTGGCTAGGTTAAACAACCTTTATTCGGCTGTAAAAATGGGAAAACACTAGGTGGTGAGGGTAAAATAAAAAATGATAATAATGCTCGTTTGTCATTAGTGTGTATGAAGAATCAATTAGCAATCAATTGGAGTTTAGTTAGAAATAATAGGACAGTGCTTCTACCTCTAATGTCTCAATTACACAACACCTGCAGTATTTGCAGGGGCTAAACTTAACAACTAAATTACTCATATTGAGGGTTAAATCATTTTTTGTAATCTTTCATATAATCCCTTTAATCATTGAATAACTTAATGTATAAACATGAAAGATAATAAAGTTTCCTTTTAAAAGGAAAGGCTTGCACAGTTGTGCCTTCATCCCAACCCTTTAAAACTGTTTTTTTTTTTTTTTTTTGGTTTCAATTTATTATCACATTTTTTTTTTGAATTACGGTATTTGTATATCATAAAGGGTTTATTTAGTTCTCTTATCTCTATTGTATAAAACTAATAAAGAAAATGATCAATCGTAAAAATACTAACGTGATACTGAAGGAAAACAAGTGTGCACATTTCATTTCCCCTTTTTAGCAGCGAAATCATTCCTTTGCTTTATAGACAAGTAAATGCGCTAATTAATAAGCATGTATCAACTATGTCACGGGGGAGGAAGTGTTACACGAAGGATGGAGTTCTTATGATAACTTGTTTGGAGTTCTTATGATAACTGTCACGGAGTTCCTGGAAAATGTTACGGATTTCTGTGGAAAACTTTTCTATATACTTGGAGAACTCGCCTAAAAAATTGTTATTTTTAACTTTAAATGGGGAGTTTGAGGTGCTAAATTAAACTTTGATAATTAAGCTTGCCCTACATGTTGTATTTTGTTTCAGAAAAAATCTTTTAGTCCATATTTTGTCGCCTTTTTAAAAAAAAAATCTGCATGTTTTGAGAAAAATTACCAAATTACTTGCTAATTCGTACATATTGACCTTTTCATTTGTGATCTTCTTCGTTGCTATACTTAATTACCTAATTATTATGGAGAGTTGCAAACATAAAGCCCGGGCTAATAGATTTATACCCGAATTTTCAAATGTTACGGAGTTCTTGCGATAACTCAAAATATGTCCTGGAGTTCTTATGATAACTTTTGTTACTGCCAGTGTGTTTTGTGCTTAATCACGGCGCGTTTAAGCGTATTTTATTAGACAATAAGTGTGTAAATCATTATGAAGCATAGTACGCTTATCATTTGCACAAAAATTTGGTTATATAACGTTGGTTTTGATCGTGTTTTTCAGTTCAAGAGATATTTTTCTTACCTCCGTTTCTTGTGTTTTTTGTGTTTGTTTTGGTCTTTTTGTGTGTGTGTTTTTTATATTTTATTGGAATGACTGTAAACATACTTGATGTAGAGCATTTACTTACAGGATAAAAATACGCTTTGAATAATGATTTCGTCATATATACATTATTCCTGGCAGTTTTAGAGAACATTAAGTAACTATGCTATCGGTATGCATGTAAATGGTTTTCAGCAAAATAGGAGGTAGTATGCACTACCTTTATCTAAATTTAATGAGGTGGGTGTCGTCTTTATGTTTCAACAGGTATTTTAATTTCTAAAAGGTATAAGTTTTTGTCATAGAAACTTATAAAGTTCTATGACAATGATCACGGTGCATATCCATATCTGTACCCTCTTTGCGAAATCTGCTCAAACGGTACCCTCTTCGAACATGCACAGGTCATGCTCAGCTAAAAACAAACCAGATTTCGCAAAGAGGGTACAGATATGGATATGCACCGTGATTATTGTCATAGAACTTTATAAGTTTCTATGACAAAAACTGATACCTTTTAGAAATTGAAAGACCCGTTGAAACATAAAGACGACACCCAACACACCTCATTAAATTTAGATAAAGGTAGTGCATACTACCTCCTATTTTGCTGAAAACCATTTACATGCATACCGATAGCATAGTTACTTAATGTTCTCTAAAACTGCCAGGAATAATGTATATATGACGAAATCATGATTCAAAGCGTATTTTTATCCTGTAAGTAAATGCTCTAAATCAAGTATGTTTACAGTCATTCCAATAAAATATAAAAAAAACACACACACAAAAAGACCAAAACAAACACAAAAAACACAAGAAACGGAGGTAAGAAAAATATCTCTTGAACTGAAAAACACGATCAAAACCAACGTTATATAACCAAATTTTTGTGCAAATGATAAGCGTACTATGCTTCATAATGATTTACACACTTATTGTCTAATAAAATACGCTTAAACGCGCCGTGATTAAGCACAAAAACACACTGGCAGTAACAAAAGTTATCATAAGAACTCCAGGACATATTTTGAGTTATCGCAAGAACTCCGTAACATTTGAAAAATCGGGTATAAATCTATTAGCCCGGGCTTTATGTTTGCAGCTCTCCATAATAATTAGGTAATTAAGTATAGCAACGAAGAAGATCACAAATGAAAAGGTCAATATGTACGAATTAGCAAGTAATTTGGTAATTTTTCTCAAAACTTGCAGATTTTTTTAAAAAAGGCGACAAAATATGGACTAAAAGATTTTTTCTGAAACAAAATACAATATGTAGGGCAAGCTTAATTATCAAAGTTTAATTTAGCACCTCAAACTCCCCATTTAAAGTTAAAAATAACCATTTTTTAGGCGAGTTCTCCAAGTATATAGAAAAGTTTTCCACAGAAATCCGTAACATTTTCCAGGAACTCCGTGACAGTTATCATAAGAACTCCAAACAAGTTATCATAAGAACTCCATCCTTCGTGTAACACTTCCTCCCCCGTGTATGTTACACGATCACTATGTGGCAAGGTTAATGATATGCATGGGCTATTTTTAGATTACCTCACCAGTTCAGTAGATCTAAATATAACTCGATCATGCAGGTCAGACCATTGAATGCAGGACCACCCTTTGAAGACGGAATACTACTACCATTCTCTATTGTATAAAACTGATACAGACAAAAAACAATTATAAAAGAAACTAACTTTTGCGTCTTGAAAAACAATTGAAACGGAACAATTTCGTTTATAATTTATTACGGTAATCAAGTAAAAATAGAAATCCTATTTATATAAACAAACTGGGATTACCGAAGTAACTATAAATAGCTTAGATTTCCGTTATATTACTTCGTCTGATTCCGCAGTATGACGGAATCGCACGAATTGTCACGATTGCAATCGGAACTACATCGGCTATTATCATTAATCCGAAGAGTGACGGAAATGGCCGAAAGGTTGCGATTGGCACGATTGCAGCTGGTTTCCTGTTCAATCATGCACCAACAGATGTAAGCAGGAAACCACCTAACCGGAACAAGTTTTCCATATGAAATGGCTTGCAGCCGTGGCTGCAAGCCAAAAATACAATAATCTGAAATATTTAAGAATGTGTCCCATTTGGTAGAGACGTTACGGCCGTGACCTACAAATGTTAGGCGTATATGCCGGTTTTTCCTGTAAAGGCAGACATCTGTGTAATATCAATTTGTAAAATCTGTCGGTTTTGCAGTCCAAAAATTGAGACTAGACTACAGTAGGGTCGAAATGTCTTGGGGACGAAAGACTCGAGATCTCTCAAATTACTTCGAAATTATTAACGAAATTTTAGTCCTCGGGGGGAAACGAATTAACATCAATAAATTAACTTATTATTATTATTAATCAAATTCATAACATATTTTGCTTTAAAACTTACCTTATTGGCTAAACAGGCTGATGTGCTTGTCAAGTAGGTAATAAAATAAACCGGGAGTCGTCGGATTCATCTAATTACTCGACCTTTCAAATTATAACCGCTACATTTCATTTACCGTAATTCAAGCTAAATTGCACGTGATTTTCAAAACTCCTTGTAAAAAGTAGGAATACAATATATCATATATAGTGGTGATGAACGTCACTGCAGTGGGCGTTACCCTGTATGGTTGGAAATTTCGGGTTTGTAAGTACACTAGTTGGGACTTCGTCCCAACTTAAAACGGGATCATGGTTATCACATGTTACGCTCAATACTCCAAAGGAACGTACCATTATATTTCTGCTCATAAATTGAAATTATAGCTTTAATATCCGTAATTCTAGATACAAAAAATACTAATTACCTCCAGATGGGTTTTGTGCCATGTCTACTACATTGATATCACTTTCTTCTTCCGTACTACCGACCTCCAAGGGATCATACCTATCGTGCCCTTCAGTCATTTCGGTTGCAAACCCAGTGTTTAAATCACCGTCAGATTCAATCTTTAATTCACCGACAGATCTTATGTTTAAAGAGTCGATACAGCTTTTAGTGTACGCCGACGAATTCAACTGTTTGTCAAAATGCTGCATTTTCTTATCGTCCCGAGGCAAAGAGTCGTTAACTAATTTAAACTGTTCTGTTTCACCTTCATCTAAATTAACTTCCTCATAATAATCGTCATTTACAGGGCGGGCACTTTGTTCTTCATACTGAATTTGGACTTGTTCATTTTGAGCATAATCATACAAATTCATTTCATTATTGTCGTTGTTCGTGTTTATTGGTGCTTCCGGTGTATCAATTCTTCTCATGAATCGTTTTGTTGAGCTTTCTGTCACAGAAAAATAGGTCTCGCAGGCAATATCCTCAAGATGTCGAAATAAATATTCACCTTTTTCATTTTTGTGTATTTCAAATAAACGTTCATCTGCTATTAGAATGTTATCGTCAATTTTAACATACTTTGCATCGTCAAGAAATGCAAGACGTCTTGAGGAAGTATTTGTTTTTAGGATCCAATACTTGCCGACTTTCTTTAGAACGAAACTCTGGTTTTCTTCTTTAAATTCTTTCGTTTCATCGTTAGACGTCATAATTCAACACTGATAATGTAAATGAATAATATAATTGAAAATAAGAAATTTGATCACTTAAAAGGAAAGCAAAAGTTTTTTTATTGTTGTTTATCTTGGGGGAAGGGTGGGGCTGGGTGTTGTTTTTATGTGTGTGTTCCTTTTTGTTTTTGTTTTTGTTGCTGTTTGTTTGTTTTTTGTCAAGGATGTTGTTTGACACTAGCTGCACATGCGGTTGAAATAATGGACCGGTACAGAGCTATAATTTTATTTCATAATCTTGTGAGAGGGTACAAAATTTTCCAAATTGTTATAATTATTTATATAAGTCCTGCTAACATAGGGAAAAACATGAACATATATTGGAGAAAATTCATTGTAATAGAAAGTTGTTGACACGGATGAAACGGAAATGCAATTGCATATACAGAGTTTTTTTTCCTTCTATAGCAGTCGCCTCATATACCCCCTACCTACCCACCTCACAAAATATTTTACATTTACATTTACAAAATTTAAACTTGAATATGTTCTATCATTATATTGTAAATGTCAATAAAGTTATTAAACGAATTGATAAATACCTTTTTATATCTGAATATCACTTTTGATTTAACAAAATTTCAAACACCTCCTTCACTGTCTTGAGAATAAAAAATATTTTTAAACTTTACACGTTTTCACTTCTCAGCTTTACAGATGAATAACTCGAAGACTTGAATTACCAAATTTTATTTGTATAACACATAATAGACAATTGTACTACACATATTGTTTATGAATCATATTTCTTTACTTCCCTTTTCGTAAAATAGTAAATAAAATTCAATACATTTCATTTATATGACGTGATAATGGTAGACTATTTATGCTTGTACAGATGAAAAAATATATATTAACATAATATATAGAAAAAGAAATTTCTACAGTTGGAATTAAAATTATCGTCATAGTATAACATAATTGTTCGTATGCGAACAGCACATTTAAATGTAATTAAAATAATAACAAAACTTACAAACAAAGTTAGGTCAATATGTAATGCAATATAATTTTTTCTAATTTAAACTGTGTAAACTATGCTATGTTTCAAAGCTTCTACTTTCAAAGGATGCCAAAATTATCTGTGTAGTCAATCATTTATAAATCTTGTTCGCATCTAAAAATTCCTTACACGAGAAATTTTATGTAAAAATACGGCCGATCTGTGCTCAGTGCTGAAACAAGGGCCAGTAGTGGTCAATGAGAAACCTTCATTTATCACAAACCCGTATCGGTTTTGCAACTCGGTAGAATTAGCGTTACAATTTCGCGAAACATTTCAATAAAAAAATGTTTTACAGTTTTATTGTAGACAGTTTTTTGGGGGAGGGTGGGGGTAAGCCTCCTATTTAATAAATAGTGTAAATCTACACAAAATGTTTAATTCATTGAACTCGTTGAATAATATAAGCACGAGATTCAAATACAGTAATATGATTTTATTCAACTCCTTCAATAAATTTGATATTTAACTTACTTAATATCCTCCTTTTTGTATATCAGACATTATTATGTACTATTTATACTGATACTTTCTCCGTGTCGCATGCTTTAAATGATATCATTCTCACGCGCCTTTTATGAATCATTATGATCGAATTGCTTTCTTAGAATGATGCCATTTTACTGTCATGCATAAATTAACACGCTTCAATTATAAAAAAGTGCTTTATATGAAAAAAATATTTTCGTCATATCTTTCCGAATTGCGATAAAAATATAACATGCAAGAACAAAAACTGATACGCCAGCTGTCTTCACAGTAATTGTTCGGAGAGAACTCGGCAGAGTCTTAAAACCGCTGTAATCAGTTACCATCAACTTAGATATTCCTGTCTGTACAGGCAGCCGGTGAATGATCCTTATACTCAGTGAGTATTGTTTATCGAATGTGGACTGATTATTGAGCAATATTCATCGCGTGAGTACCTATCAGTGGGTAATATTCATCGAGTTAATTATCTCTGTGAGCTATATCTATCGAGTCTGTACCTCACAGCAGGTAATATTGATTTCATCGAGTGAATTATTTCTGTGAGCTATATCTATCAAGTGAGTACTTGTCAGTAGGTAGTAGGTAATATTCATCAAGTGAATTTCTTCTGTGAGCAATATCTATCGAGTGATTAGAAACATCGAGCGATAGCGACATGAGAATGTTTCTAATTTCTGTAGAACAGCTACGGATGAATACTAACATGCTTATTGTCAAGCTTTATTCGGGCTCATTATTATTTACTTAATTATGTCACTACGCGGTTCTATGAAGTGCTATAAAAAATAGAAGGCGACTATGAACGGTATTCGACAAAGTATCGACTTTTGTTCTTTTTTTAAAGTATCACAGATAACTTTTGAAAAAAAAACAGCGTTTTCATTAGATGACAAATAAAGCTGGACACTAAATCTATCGAGTGAGTATATCTCAGTGGGTAGAATTGATCAAGTGAATTTATTCGGTGAGCTATATCTATCGAGTGAGTATCTCTCATTGGGTAATTTTTGTCGAGCGAATGCTCCCCAGTGAATAATATTCATCAATGAATACTTTTACCGAGAAATATTTATCGCGTTAGTACTTCTTAATTAGAACTTAGTATAAGAATGAAAATTTGAAATACTAGGAAACTTTGGTTACTGATATACTTGTACAATACTTCTTGCATTTAAAATTCATTAAATTTTCTAGTAAACAGATGAATACAAAAAATGTCCTTTTTTCTCAATTTATTTTCAAACAATTTTTCATTAATTCAAACTAGAGCCATACAATCTATATCTATTTATAGAATTAAAATAAACAGAACTTTTCTTTTAAATTATGCCAACTGATCAAATTAAACAAAACGACTAGTTGAACGAAAAGTTTCAACCACTGCGACAAGTGCTACTGGTTGGCGACCTACAACCAGGCGTTTTTACAACATTTTTCACAATTGTTTGAAAACTGTTTTCCTGACACGCTCAATATTCAACCTTGGGTAAGTTAGGTTCAAGGTCTCTATCACGACATGGATTTTTCTTTTTTCTAAATATAGAACACACGTTTTTGAGGCCCTAACGTAGGGTCATATTAAACTGTAATAATTAAGCTTAAAACTGTACCATATTTCCAGACGCTCTGTAAAACAATCATAACACTTCGAATTTATAATTTGTTGACCTGTTACTGTCAATTTGTAATAAGTTACATATTATAATTCAATATTATTATTCAGGTTCATGTTTTCTCGCCTATAAATAGAAAGCATGTATAAAACCTAAGCCGTACCGTTACTTTAGTGTGCGGTAATATGCAAAAAGATTAAGAGTTCCTGCAACTTCACAGGTAAAATGTATTTCTGTCTGACCTTGAAACATCATCATATGCGTTGATTTTTACTTTAATACCATAGGAAGTCTGAATTGTTATGTTTATTACACGAATGTTTATGTCTATTATCGACATGAGATTCGTTACGGCCCTGTTTTAAAATAAAAGGAAACTAACATGATATAATTTCTAGTTTATCAGTAATTTGATAGTCATATCCTTTTAGTACGTTGAAATTGTAATCATTTCATCTCTGATAAAAATACAAATGATACTCATATCAAATTCACAGATGAAAGTATCACATATAATACACATATAAACATTGACACGTGAATGTAACATATCTTGGTACAGCCAGGGTTTACATTTGCAACAGTACCAGTCACTTTTCTCTTCCATACTCTCTCTTAAACATTCTCTCTCTTTCATACTTAGACATTCTTCATGGTACCATTTCTCACACATACACAACCACATCACATCACACCATTTAACTCGTCATTCATTAGACCTCTCTCCCCACACACTCCACATCTAAATTTTCTATTCGACAAGCGTCCACACACATCTCTCCTAATTTGCTCATCTTTCTTATGTCTTTCTCTACGTTCCCTCTCTTCTGTCTTTTTCTGTTTCTTCTGTTGTCTTTCTTCAATGTCCCTTTCTTTCTGTTCCTTTCGTAATTCTTTTAGCTTAAGCCTTTCTTCTTTTGCCTTCTCCAATTTTCTGGCAGACTGTTCCTTTTCCTGAAACATCCATATACCCTTAATATTACTTTTTCGATCAACAAAATTACTTTAACGTATGTTTCACTGTAAAAATGGCACTAAGATACCTACAGTCAAATACTTAACAAATTATAGTGCTATAAGTAACAACAGCTCTCGATCTGTGTTCCATTCCGTCAGTATCTCTATAAGAGAAATCAGGTACGTAGGAAGGTGGTAAGTAATGAACTTTGCTTTTAGAAAAATGGAAGTAATATACATGTATATACTTGAAAATACACACTGATAGATATAACACTATAACATTATATCTATAACGTAGATATCTATAAACATCAATTTTTTGTTAAAATAACGCCGTGAAAAATTATAAAATATTTCACACAGCATTTTATCTCTGTAAAATCGATATCTATTTTGTCATTATAGTTAATGTATTTGTAATGCAATAAACTAATATATGATTTAGAATAGATACTTTTAACTGTTTAAGTATCTCGTCACCGCTAATGACACGCCCGTCTGCCACAACCCGGGATTTTTTGATCGGATTTACTTTCATTTGGGCATTACATGGAGGGATCAAGATTTGTGCCAAAGACGCAGGAATTAGTCCTTGGTCTTTCTATGGGTTTACTAGGAAGAAACCACACGATTCACATGTTCGCAGATTAGTACTCTCAGTTCTACCGGCTGAAAAATAGTTAGTTTATTTGTACAGAAGTGAAATGTCAGAAAAAAAACACTTTCTTCATTTCTTCGAACGAAAGTTGGTGATATAAGTTAACTTCTCTCGATTACCTGCGGGTCAAATGGATGATGCCCGTGACCCGGAACGCTTCTCTAACAGATGGCGATGTAGTCTGTTCCAGTGCATGCCTAAAACAACTGGAAAATTCCCCTTGCTTATTGTTAAGTTTGGATTGGCAAAGCCAAGGTTGGTGGCTAGGGAACTGAATCTCCTATTCAGTGGTGCATTTACCTGTTATTTATTTATTTTGATTATTTACAGCCAAACATTAAATACAATCAAAAACTGTATAATTATTACGAAAATTATTATTATAATAATATTTTTTATTATTTACAGCTTAACAGCAAATCGCTTCACAACTGTAGAATTATTCAAAAATGAAACAAAATTGAAATACTTTACGTGACTTGTTCTACATAAGGAGAAAGCATTATTAAGACAAATACATGTGTATTCTTAATATATATCAAACCTTCACATCTAATGGTTGCAATATATGTGTTGTATGTGCAGGCATTCCAACCAATACTACGTTGTTTGCACGAGCTGTCTCCACTCATTGCAGCGTCACATGAGAGTCATGATTATTTAGTATTAAAAGAACGGGTCTTTCTCTGCCGCAGTTCAAGAGAAAAATTCTTTAAAGCCACGACAGAAAAAGTTCCCCGTCCGTATACAGTTATAGCCAGACATAATTGTACCGAAAATCCACGAGTCTGGAATACCTTCAGTGAAATGTCGATGCGGGTAGGATTCCTGTAAAATAATACAAAATGGAATAGAATAAATGATGAATTAGTATTTTCATTTACATTAATCAGTCATTTTAATCTTTATATCAATGATAAGTGGCTAAAAAGAAATGTATATTTACTATATTA